GAAACAATGCTCGACTCTCTTTTCAATCCAAAGCCTGTGAGACATGGAAGTTTCAAAGTGCGACAGTCGACTGGGAAATTCAGCAATGAGATTTCAGGTCAATCTCAAACTTCTCCAGCTGTTGAGTGAATACATGCTTTATAGGGTTCAAATCTGTAGAGGAAATTTACAGTTATAGGATTTATCACATATCAACATACAATGATTCAGTCGCTGGGTATGTAGCTGTACAAATTCCTGTACTTTTCTAGCTATATGTACAATTTTATGGGCTAATTTACTTTGGCAGCTTATACGGCCATTCTCATTTCTAGAACTATCTTCATAATTTAGGAATGTATTGCGCTTGTAGAAGGCTCAAACAGTTAAGAATTCAGTTTACTTACTGGAAAGTCTGGAATAGTATTGAGAATAAAATATTTGCTGGTTTCTTGTGACTGATTTTGGCCATTCTTTTTACACTTCGTTTGGTTTAGTGAATTTCATTTTTACTGACATTAGCCTATCAAATGTGATTGAAGAAAAGTTAGTTGATGGTCATTCTTGTGATGGATGATGAGATTACAGTTGCTAGTTTATCTTTTTTCTTTAAGACTCCCTCTCGAAATAGGGAAAAAATTAAATGAATGAACAATTCCTCAACTCGAAGACTAGTACGCCAAGCTAAGGTGAAGAATTTGATTATTGGTGTCATTTCTTGATTGGAAATTCTTGGTATATGTTGCAGATGTATTTGTGATTGGTATCATAGAGAAAAACTCAAACCCAATCCAGTTACTATGCCAGCACAGATGTATTTGTGATTGGTATCATAGAGAAAAACTCGAAACTGGCTGGCAAGCTCAGTTCTGTTCTAATCCCTTAGATTCCCGCACACGAGTACCTTCCTTCAAATAGATACATTTCCTTTCTTCCAGTTACTATGTTAGTAATGGCCAAAAAAAAAAAAAACCTCCCTTTCAATACTTGTGTTTTTCGTGCTTGTACGGTAAGTATTGATTGCCCGTCTCATTATTCCTTTCAAGACTCGTGTTCTTCGTGCTTGTACTGTATGTATTGATTGCCGGCTCAATATTCGTTTCAAGACTTGTGTTCTTCGTGCTTGTAATGTATGTATTGATTGCCTTTCTCAATGACCGGGAGTATGGGATACATTTACATGCATTGAGCATTTGATTGAATTGAAATTTGAAATGACTGCATTTGACTTTATTAATCGTTTGAAAAATAAACACATTTATTCTTGGAATTGTGCAAGTCCTGTGACATAAATATCCTAGAATTGAATAGGACAATCCGCCCATCATTACTTTTTCTAGTCTCAAGAAAAAGGAAAAAGAGGCATCTCAGAATTTTTAAGTTTTTGGTTGAACAAAACAGAAATTTTTACTAATCAAGAATTTGAATTGGTGGCTTGTTTTATACTGATATTTGCCAAGGAAAAAGGTTTTCAGATTGCATGGGTGGAGAAACGAAGCCTGAGATTCGTCTTTCAATGAGCTCCTAAGTCCTAACAAGGTCCTTCTATTGAATATTTATTCACTGTTTAGGGTCTGTTTGACATAATTTTGAATAAGTCAAAATGAGACTCAAGCTATTTTTCGATCCATTAGGTTAATAGTCTAAAAGTACTTCTTCTACTTATAATAGGTTTTAGAGAAAGCTGTCTCAATTTTTTTAGAAATTAATTTTCAAACATTAATTAAGGTAATTTTATCAGAAAGTTCTTCTATAAAAAATAGAAGCCAACATAGACACTATGCCAAACGGGCCCTTAGTCCACTTAGTTTCTTCTTTAAATTTGGTTGATTTGAGTGTTACACAGTTGATTGATTGTATTTCGAGTTTATTTTGAAATCAGCCGTTACAATATTAAATGAAAGTTTATTGTGCCATAAAAAAAAAAAGTGTGGAGTACAAAGTGATTAAATTCTTGACGTATGACATAAGGATAAGATGAACAATAATAATGAGATTATTTTTATCTCCCTGCCAATAGTGCTAATAGATTGTCAAGAAGTGATTAGGCTAACTTCTCCCTAATAAGTTATAAAAGATGTGAATATTTTGCCTTCAATTTTTTTTCTTCAAAATAAGTACAAAAATTGTTTTTTAAGAACAATACATTAGAAAATGAGAAAATTACCTTCAACTGTTTCAATTTTTTTTTAAAATCAGGTTATAATTATTTTTTCAATAATCAGGTAATAATTATTTTTTCATGTGTGCATATATATGTAAGGATTTCAGATTGCATGGGTGGAGAAACAAAGCCTGAGATTCGTCTTTCAATGAGCTCCTAAGTCCTAACGAGATCATTCTATTGAATATTTATTCACTATTTAGGGTCTGTTTGACATAATTTTGAATAAGTCAAAATGAGACTCAAAAGCTATTTTTCGATCTATTAGGTTCATAGTATAAAAGTACTTCTTCTACTTATAATAGGTTTTAGAGAAAGCTGTCTCAATTTTTTTTTAGAAATTTATTTTCAAATATTAATTAAGGTAATTTTATCAGAAAGTTCTTCTATAAAAAATAAAAGCATACATAGATACTTTGCCAAACGGCCCCTAGTCCACTTAGTTTCTTCTTTAAATTTGATTGATTTGAGTGTTACACAATTGATTGATTGTATTTCGAGTTTATTTTGAAATCAGCTGTTACAATATTAATAAATGAAAGTTTATTGTGCCATAAAAAAAAAGTGTGAAGTACAAAGTGATTAAATTCTTGACGTATGACATAAGGATAAGATGAACAATAATAGTGAGATTATTTTTATCTCCCTGCCAATAGTGCTAATAGATTGTCAAGAAGTGATTAGGCTAACTTCTCCCTAATAAGTTATAAAAGTTATGAATATTTTGCCTTCAATTTTTTTTCTTCAAAATAAGTACAAAAATTGTTTTTTAAGAACAATACATTAGAAAAATGAGAAAATTACCTTCAACTGTTTCAATTTTTTAAAAATCAGGTTATAATTATTTTTTCATGTGTGCATATATATGTAAGGGGGGTTGCCATCGATCTTGCCTAGACAAAATGCATTTAGGGCTAGTGGTGGTATGATGTTAGATTAGTTGTAGGTCTGGAAATGTACCCGACGTGCTTGGTAGGTTTGAGTAATTTAGGCTATTCGGCGATTGTATATCTAGAGGTTGTTGTGATAGTAGGGGTAGGGGTGGGGTGAGAAGAATTTGGCCAGATAATTGCTTACATTCACACGATTAGATAATTTATGTGACTGTGACCTGTTTCTAATAATTGAATGCCATCTATTACTTGTATGATTTGCGATTTATACGTGATTGTAACCCATAAAATTATGCGATATGTGATTGTAGTCTTGTAATTTAGTATGCGAGTGACACACAAATTGCGTGGTATGTGAATATGATCTGTTTTAATTTCAATATATAAGTCACAATATTTATCAGAGATCACATTCATATACCACACGATTTTTTAAAGTTTTTATGTGTTTGTTAAATTTGAAATTATATTATTAAGCTATTAAATTATTGTAGTAATGAAATTTGGGAAAAATTTATGGGCCAGGGATTATCTTGCACGAAATAAAAAATCAAACCCCAATGTTTAAATTTACAAAACTCAGGTTTTTCATGAATTAATTAATTATATTTTACAATTAATCTATTAAATTAAATATTTAATTATAATATAATATAATTGACCCACCCCACCCTACCCCACCCCACCCCACCTCCACCACCTTCACTGCACCGGCAACTACTCTGGCAGCTGTTATCCGGTAGCGCTTAATTTCGACGACCATTTTTTGGTGACCGTTGGCCGCCGCTAAAATCCGGTAAATGCTCCGATTCCAAGGTCACAGATATCTTATTAAATAGTCGAAAATTTAATTTCGATCACAACTTATCAAATTCATTGATCATAGATTATTTTGAGGTCGCAAAAATTTTTTTTTTTATAGGTCACAGTTTTCAAATTTGTGGGTCACAGATTCCTTTTTTAGTTACAAATTCAATAGAAAAAACTATTACAATTCAATAGTTAGGTCACAGATACTAGAAAAAACCGCCTAGGTCATAGACATTATCGAGGTCACAGACACCAGAAAAAAACACCGCAATTCAATAGTTAGGTCACAGACACCAAAAAAATCACAAAAAAAAAAAAAAAAACTGGAAAAAANTCCACCTCAGCCACCACAAAATTATCGGAGAAATACCATGAATTGGGATCTGAAGTAGATCTCCAAGAGGTGGACGACCATAGCAGCTTCAGCGACGTTGCTGTGAATGGCATCGTAGTAGCGTCGCGCGACACTACAGACGTTCACAGGCAGCAGCGTTGCGGCCTAGGAATGGAGGGGGAGAAAGGGAGAAGAAGGGAGGAGAGGAGAGGGAGAGGGAGAGGAGAACGGAGGAGGAGGCGGCGCCGACGTCGGTGGATAGAGGTGGCGGTGGCAGCGGGGATGAGGGAGAGAGGAGAGAAATGAATTGGATTAGGTTAGGGTTTGGATATATTTAGGTTTTATATAAATTTAGTGGGGGTGGGTAGTAGGATGTGTACAAATGTTATTTTAATTTTATAATATTATTATTAATTAAAAATGATAAAACCTGATTTTTTATTAAATAAAGTTAAAACCTAATTTTCAGAAACTTCAAATTAAACAGCTGGTTTTATGTAATTATCCCATGTAATTTTTCCTTAAAAAACTCATGAGCTTCAAAACTTGGGCCTCATCTTGCACGGAATCCGCAAGAAGACAATTATGGCCCATTCTATCCGTAGCCGGCCCAACCTACTTAGTCCATGACTAGCACTCTGTATGTAATGACTCAAAACGGTGTCGTTCATCATGGTTTCAACTTCCTATCTGGAATTAACCCACTCAACACATCCCCGGGTGCGTAAAACCCTGTTTTTCTGTTATCGAGTTTCTTCTTGAATTCTCCGTCCAAATTCGTGCAATTTTAAGCTGAACGAAGAAACAATCGAACTACGACATGGCTGACACAACAAAGAAGCGAAAGAAAGGGTCAATTAGTGAAGAAGACGTGTCTATACTCTTACAGAGGTATTTTTTCTGCTGTAATAATTTTAATTATGATCGAAAAAATTCAGTTTTTTTGGTTGGTTTCTTTGAAGATACTCTGCGCAGACGGTGCTGGCGTTACTACAAGAGGTGGCGGTGGTTTCAGAGAAGAAAATTGACTGGAACGCAATGGTGAAGAATACTACGACTGGAATTTCCAATCCAAGGGAGTACCAAATGCTCTGGCGCCACATTGCGTATCGAGATGACCTCATTGATTCGTTGAACAACGCTGTAGATCCTCTGGTAAGCAATATGTATTCTGCACTACGTATGCCTGAAACTTCTGTTACGAAATGAGTAGTTTATGCCTTTTGGCCAGATTCGGAACCTGAAAAGGTGGGATCTTCCCCCATTTTCTCTCCGACCAAATCAGTGTTTTCGGAAGAAAAATGATGCTAATCATTTATGCTTGAAAAGGTAGAAGAAACTTACTAAACGAATACATATCAGGTTCAAGAATAATTATTAGTGTTGAGATGATTGAATAAATATCAACTAAAGAAGATGTAGTTCAAGCATAATTATTCTCTATTTATAGCATATTTTGTACCAACTAAAGATGATTGAATAACTATCAACGAAGTAAAATCAGAAAATAAAATAATTTTCATTATAATGTCGAGAATTACATACAAAATATGCACTATATATTTTATGATTAATATATGTTTAGTTGGTAAACAAAGTTTTAGAAGTAGAATGAACTAATTCATTTTTTGTTCTTAGCTGTGCAGAATAAAATTTCGATTCCAAATCCCAATAGAAACGAGAAGTCAATTCATTTTCTCTCCCACTTTGAATTTCGGAATGAGAATTGAAAATGAGATATTTATTACTATATATTTTTGTACTTTTTATTTCTTTCTTAGTTAAATTTATTTCTTTTATTTCGTAAAATGTATAAATAATTTGATTTTATGTTTTGCTCGAAATTCATTGAAATATGAGGTGTGAGGCTGGAATTCTTAAAGAGCTTGGTATTTATATTTATTGGTATGCACTAAATCTATTAAAATCCTTTCAATTAATGAAATCCTTAGAAGTCCACAAGTTATTGCTACATGTAGATTTTAGTGGGACACCTAGATTTATGTAGACTTCAAAATCCTTGAAAATCTAAGTTGAGGACATATTTGTTAGACTTCTTTTCATTTGATCGAAATGCCCACACAAAACTAGATTTTGTAGATCATTTTAATTTCTAGTATTGTTTGTTTTTAGTTGGGCGGAATAAAAATTCGATTCCAAATTCCAATAGAAACGAGAACTCAATTACTTTCTCTCCCACTTTGAATTTTGGAATGAGAATTGAAAATGAGATAATTATTACTATTTATTTTTATACTTTTTATTTCTTTCTTAGTTAAATTTATTTTCTTTTCTTTTGTCAAATGTATAAATAATTTGATTTGTTTTGCTTGAAATTCATTGAAATATGAGGTGTGAGGCTGGAATTCTTAAAGAACTTGGTGTTTATATTTATTGGTACGAACTAAAATGTATCAAATTCCTTCCAATTAATTAAATCCTTAGAAATCGACAAGTTATTGCTACACTTAGATTTTAATGGGACACCTAGATTTATGTAGACTTCAAAATCCTTGAAAATCAAAGTTGTCACTTAGATTTTAATGGGACATCTAGATTTATTTAGACTTCAAAATCCTTTAAAGCTGAGTTGAGGACATCTTTGTTAGTCTTCTTTTCACTTGTTCGAAATTCTCACATTCTGGTATTGTTTCGACTTATTGTACTAGCAATTTGTTTAGCAAGTCGTACTGAGTAGAAAGTTTATAGCTATCATTGTATGATGGTTGAGATAAAGGTTTTTGCTGCAATATTAGTCCAACTTTAATCTGCTACGTAGTTTATTTTTGGGTGTGCTTCAGCTCTTTATTTATTTTTTAAATTTATTTTGGTAGGGTGACGACAGTGATTTAGAATTTGAACTGGAAGCGTTTCCTGCTGTCAGTCGTGAAACTTCAGCAGAGGCTGCTGCTTGCGTTAAGGTGAAAAAGTTAATTGAAATACGAGAGCAACAGCTTTGTCGACATGTTTTACTGAACACATTTGGATATAGCACTATTTGCTTGTACTGATTCTTGATTTTGATATTCTTGTATGCTATGCTTACTCGAACTGGAAAATTATCATAGTTTTAGAAACAAGAGGTTGAATTATAAATCAAATCTTTAGAAACAAAGGAGTCTACATACATTAAGCTTTTACACAATGGAATTGTAAGCAAATTGGCAGAGTGCTTCCCTTTCCATTCAAGCCCCAAAAATGTCGGTTGCTGGGCTACAGGGTTTTGTGATTTTTCAAGAACAAGGCTAAACTTTTAGCGGTGGTAAATCACCAAGTTGAATACTTCTTCTGAGTGGAGGGAGTGGGGTTTCATAATATTAAATCCCAAGCCAAATACTGCTTGCCAAGGACGACTTAGGGATGCATCCTGAGCAGTGTGGATTGGCCCAGGCAGGAGCAACTGGCCACAATGGAGATGTAGTATCCTTGGAAATATTTTTATTTTTGGCTTTGCTCATGGAAAGTGTAAATTAATTTCTTTTAGTGTTTACATTGACCCAAATCTGCTGAAATGTATTTATATTTGCAAGTTGCAACATTAGAATCATGCAGTGTTGAATTATATTGCCAATTTGCAGAATGAAGTCAAGACACTTCTGGTTCATGGGGAAAACCAAAAGAAAATGATGGTGGTGGTTTGATCAAATGTTCATTGAAAGTTTGAGAAGACAATGCATTGTCCTGACCAGATTTAAATAGAGTTTGGGTTGTGAGAGGGAAGGGGAGGAGGGAAGCGAGAACATTGAGCTTGAGGGACATGAAGAGAGGTGGTTCATGGTAAAGTGCCAATAGGAAAGGTCATTTTTGGAACCTAAGTGGATTTAATTGGCAAGTTGGGAGTTGCCAGTCCTTTTGAAAATTAAAAGGAACGTAGCTAATAGTTGGCTAACCTTTAAGCTGGTTCTGAATCACTTAACTTCCGATTATCCAACAAACCTGTTCCTGAAATTTCAACCAGTTTTTAGTTTGATGAAGCCTATCTTGCTAAGCAAAAAACATAGTCCAGAAAGATTCTGACTCTACTATATTTGTTAAAAATGAACTATTTTTGTAGGTTCCGGGAGGGAGCCTAAACCAGTCACGTTTCTAAAGAACATCTCCAAATGAGTTCCAATTTTATAATATTCAGTCTCGTAACCAGGAATGTAAGAGGGTGTTTGGGATTTCTTTAAAAAAATGAGCTAAAAGCAACAATTGTTTTAGCTTAGAAAATAGACAGTTTGGATAAGAGCACTGATTTTAGAAAGTAGTTAATATGTTAGCTAGAAAGTGTTAATAAGCATTTTATTGTCAAAATGACCTAGAAGGAAATTTATCCTTTATCGCCTCTATTGGTTATAGCATCAACTCTTTGAACCGAAATTTAATTGAAAGTATTGTAAGGCACGTGCAACATCAATTAGCTCGAGACTAATAGGTTTATCCTTAATGTTGAATATTCATAAATACTTATTATAGAAAATGTAAATTTATAATCTCTTCTACACTTTGCCACATGAAATTGTAATTTTTTTGTAAAATTAACTAAATCTTAAATAAATCAACATTCCTAAGCTAGTGAATTGATAATAATAAAAAAATGAAACAAAGACATTAAGGAGGTGTTTGGTGGGGATTGAAATTAGATTTTTAGTAAATTTTGATAGAAAATTTTGAAATGTTTGGTTGAAAAGTTGTGGACCCATGAAAGATGTGGTTAATATTGATTGTTTGACTTTGACTTAAATTAAAATCTGACTTTAATTTGTACCAAACAAGCTCTAAGATAATTATCTACACTTAAAAACAAAGTTAAAGTGCATGTTGTTAATTGTTTAGAAACATTATCATAAAAGAAGTGTGAATCACTCAATCTTCGCCTTTCCCTTTTTGCTCCTTGCTCTATTTTTTCTTCATTTCTTTCCATTTTGTTCTTTTTCCTTTATTTTCTTTTCTTCTGTTTTGTCCCCTATATCTTTTCTATATCTTCTGATTCATGTTTCTACTTGATTTCTTGAGCTGTGCTGATTTGGGAATTGTGGTGCTGATGGTTGTGGGGGAAGGCCAATTTAGAAGTTGTTGGATTTGGTGACTGGATTAGGATAATATGAAGAAGGGTTAATGGTAGCAAGAGAAATATAGGACCGCATGAGAGAGTTAGTGGTTTACTGGTGGGGACAGTTTACGGGTTGTGGGTGAAGATGCGCAGGGGCTATACCTGCTCAGTGAGTCTTGACTGGGAGGGAAGAGGGACTGCTGGTGGGAATGGTTTTTCAATGTGCTGGAGTATTATATTTGAATGTCAGGAAATGTGTGAGTTCTATAGTAATTTACCTTGTCAAACCTGCTGGCTTAGAAACCCCAGGGTGCTTTTTCAGGGCTTATTAACTCTTTTTACCCAATAAATTGCTGAGTTTTACGCAGAACATGGGCTATCAGCCAGTTTGACCTGCTCATTAGCAATCCAAATTGGCCTCTAAGTTGAATGTTTTTGCTTTTAGAAACTATTCAATGCACATTATCTGGGGAAAAACTTATTGAATTGTTTACTTAAATAGAAAAATTTACTTGTGTGGTTGAATCCGATTGCAATGTAAGCTTATTTTAGGATTCAACAATTGCTTTCTGCTAGCATGCCTACTCTATATACCTCAAAAAACTATAGCACACTATTTATTTTCTTTTAGTTAGCTTACATATGCTAATTTTCAGTTGTATATTCACTGAAGAAGATTTTACCTTCTCCAGGTGTTAATTGCCTCCGGTACCTCAAATGATTCTCATCTCCATAACAGCTCAACCATTGAGGCTCCATTGACTATAAATATACCGAACCATGAGAAGTCCATAGCTCCTTCAGAGAGTTCACATCTTGCTAGTTGTTTGCAGGGGACAAATATAACCATACCAGTTTCTGTACAAAAGCAGCAATTGGCTACAGTAACATGTGCTGAAAAAAAGCGAACTAATGTGTCAACAGGCAGTAATTTGCCTCCCCGAAGAAAAAGAAAGCCTTGGTCTGAAGAAGAGGATATGGAACTCATTGCCGCTGTGCAAAAGTGTGGTGAACGGAATTGGGCTAATATTTTGAAAGGAGATTTTAAGGGTGATAGGAAACCGTCAGAGCTATCTCAGGTTCTTTTAGTTCCAGAATTATCTAGTCTCTAATCATATTGTCGAAAACCCCATACCTTTCGGAAATAGCACAAAAGGTCCCTGTTTGAAACTTTAGTGCGGAATACCCCATGCCGTCTTATTCCGTCAGTTCTATCGTTAAATCCCAATAAATAGGGGAAAAAATAGAAAAAATAGAAAGGGCAAATCCTATCCACCTATTAGACACGGTGCGCAAATCCCCTACCTATTAGAATTGGCGAAAAAGGTCCTTGTCGTCTATTTTCTCAATAAAAATATTGAAAATGACGAATACTCTCTTATTTAAATAAAACAAAAAGGAAAGAAGAAAAAATAAAAAAACTAATTTCAACTGTAGTCCAAATTTTTTCAAATAAGTGCAAAAAAGTCCTAAATAAATAGTTAAAAACTTAAAATTAAAAATCCCTTCCCCTCGAAAAAAAGACAAATCCTCCATTCCATACTTCATCTTCGTCCCTCACAAAAATAGAGAATAACTCACTGTTCTTCCTCAATTCTACCCCCAATCCCATTCAACTTCTTCCTCCTCTCACAAACTGATTGCAAAACTTGGTAGCCTATACGCAGTTTAAATAATAGCAACTCATCCCTTCCCAGTAGCTCCCTCATCCTCATCCATGTTTGCTTCCTCCTACATCAATATGCTCCTGTTCCCACCCTAGTGTCTGAACCCACCTATAAATATGTTTAGTAGTTATTCTACACATGATGATAAAATAAGGATATGCCACGTACTGTTCGAGATAAAATAGTCTTCTTCAATTCCATAACCCAAATCAATTCCAGTAAACTTAAAATCCAATTATTTAACAATCTAAACCCTAATGTTATGAAAATCACCCAAGACCCAGTGTATAAAGAGGTGCTGTATCTGAATAAAAAAGGATATCTGGACGGGGCTTCGAATTTGGTGGTGATGAGTGGCGATTAACAATTTTCGTAGTATAGTGGCCGACTTGTGGTGTTGGTTTTGTGAGTAGGGGGTGGGGTGGGGTGGGGTGGGGTGGGAGAGGATGAGGGTGGAAGAAAGTGAACAAAATTGCATTCTATTATATAAATTTGCCTTGGTGTGTAATTTATTTGGGATTTGTTTGCACTTATTTGAAAAAATTTGGGACTACAGTTGAAAGTAGTTTTTTATTGTTTTATTTTATTTTTCATTTATTTAAATAGGATAGTATATCCGTCATTTCCAATCTTTTTATTGAAAAAATAGACGGTGGGGACCTTTTTCATCAATTCCAATAGGTGTTTTTTATTTTTATTTTTGGTTGTGCACCATGTCTAATAGGTGAGGGTTTTGCCCTTTCAATTTTTTTTTTGTTTTTCCCCTATTTATTGGGATTTAAATGCAGAACCGATGGACTAGGATGGTAGGGGGGTTTTTTCGCACTAAAGGTTTCAAAAGGGTCCTTTTGTGCTATTTCCAAAAGATACGGGGTTTTTCAGCAGCATGTCCTATAGGTAGGGGTTTTTTGTGCTGTTTAGCCTTTTATTTGTTGGATCTTTCATTCATTTAGAATGAGTAAATGGGCCTAAGCAATAAATGGTATGCCATAGTTCTAATTTAGCTTCCATTTGGTAAAATTAATAAATTTTTTATAAATGATCAAATTTCATTTTCAACCACATTCCAATGGACCCACAAGTATATCCACCACTCATTTCTCCCTATTTATAATTTAAACCTTTTGAAGTGACCAATTCTGGGATTTTTTTTTATGCATGATTTTCATTTGCACCTTTTTTAACGAGTGTGGCTGTTGATAGGCTCATTTATCCAGGAAGTGCCTTGTTTGGACTAGCTCATGAATAATGGAACTTCTATGTCAATCCCTAAAGGAATAAGAAACATGTATTGACATGCACAGAGAGATGAAGAGAGATTATTAGCTTTCAATAAATGCATCTGCATCTAGTTATTGGATAATGATGATGGCTGATGAACTGATTCCCATCCTCTTTGGGGATATATAGAGCACCTTATTCTTTTTGTAAAAGTAGTTCTTGCTTGTGCTGCCATTAGCAAGTTAATAAATATAATAAGCTTTAATTTTCAATGTTAAACACAGGTCCATAGATGATGAATTCACATGATTTGTGCCATCATTAGATCTATGCCATCTTGTATTGTTAAAGTTCTACCTCTATATGCATGGGTTAGGGTGTCTGGACTTTGTCCATGTTTTGCAGGTTCAATTCAATTTTTTATGTGAACTTTCGGCGATCCTGTTCTGTCAAGTAGAACTGGTGTTAAATACTAATTTGCCAATGGGTTTTAGACTGGTTAAAATGAAAATAAAATAAATTTGTGCAGAGGTGGGCCACTATCAGGAAAAAACAAGGCAACTTGAAAGTGGGAACCAGTTCTCAACTTTCTGAGACTCAGCTGGCCGCAGCTCACAGAGCAATGTCCCTTGCCCTTGATATGCCCTTGGGTGATAATATGAAGGCAGCAATAAGTACGGGTAATTCTCTCTATGGCTAACCTTATTTATGTAAGACAACCTTGGGGTTTTCTACTATTATGTAGTTCTGGATGTGTTTTGAATGGGTGGAGTCTTGGATTATCAAAGAGGCCGGAAAAGAACAAACTGTATGGCATTTTTGGATGCTGTAAACAGAACTAGAAATCATTAAAGAGTTAAATAGGGAATAGAGAGAGAAGGAAAAATGGTGAAAACTTGGCATAATGCCTGGAACCCCATGCCATCCTACCAAGGGTTGAAGTTCAGTAGCTCTCAATTTTCAGTAAATAAATATTGACTTCCATATAGACTCTGAAGGACTCCTAATGTTTAGTAGATTCAAAATTCGAAATTTATTATTTAACTATGAAATTATAGTGAAGATTTGGAAGAAAGTACATGACATTACCCCCAAGGATAAATCCAATGCCGAAACTTGGAATTGCTGTAAAAATACAGATTTTTTATTACAAGTCCGCTGACCTAAAAATACTTCAGTTTTCAGATTTTGGGCTATAAGTCCAAAGAAGCTTGTATCCTCCCAAATAATTTTCACTTTATACATTCTTTTTCTCACTCCTTTATTGCCTGCATCACCTATATGTAGCTTGGAGATTGCTTTGAGTAGGAAATTAGACTGACACAGCCACAAGGATAAATCCAATGCCGAAACTTGGAATTGCTGTAGAAATACAGATTTTTTATTACAAGTCCCCTGACCTAAAAATACTTCAGTTTTCAGATTTTGGGCTATCAAATAAGTCCAAAGAAGCTTGTATCCTCCCAAATAATTTTCACTTTATACATTCTTTTTCTCACTCCTTTATTGCCTGCATCACCTATATGTAGCTTGGAGATTGCTTTGAGTAGACTGACACGAGGTCATCCTATTCTACTGACCATATTGATATATTGATGCTGGAACACTTTTCATTACTATTTAATGGTCTTATATTATTTGCAGGTGGCAAGTTGGCTGCATCTCTCCTCAAACAAAGTAGGTCTTATCTTTTATGCAAAATATCATTGAGATTCTTACGAACAAGTGCATATATATTGAGTTGTTCTAATATGTTTGGGTATCAATTAAGGATAGTTGGTCTTTTACTAATCTGTTGATATGGTTCAATTAATGAAGATGGAGTTCAACAACGCCCCTTGTTGTATTTGTCTTTTACCATCCATCCAAAAGCAGAATTCGCATTCCGGTTTGGTTCACATGCACATTTTCTGTCTAGAACTCATCAGTCTTGAACAATTTAAAAGCAAATTGGTGGAGTGTCTTGTTGTGTGATTGTTTTCCCAATTTGAATATTGTTGCTATAGCATATAAATTTCTCTCTCCGTACGTATTTTGTTTTTCCATTTTCCATTTTTTTGCTCATGTCTTCGTTGTTGATTAATGTCCCCCCAAAAAAATCACCTGGAATGACTTCAGATTCTGTCCACTCGTTGACCACTTTAATATCTCATTAGTCATTATGTATTCATTTGTTTTAGGGAAGGGCTGGGCTCCCCTCTTTTAATTAGTGTGGTTTCTGGTCTCCAACCTCCGAAGTGAGGTTTTGGGTCCCCAACTCATTTAAATATGTGAATTTGGTTCTCCATGTTATAAAAACGATCAATGAGAACGTTAAAACTGAACAGGATTTTCACGTGACATAAAGTTGGAGGGCAAAATTGTCAAATCACTTACAGTCCAACTTTAATGTCGACATGCTAACTGAAAGGTTGGGGAGCCCTGCCCTAATCGTCCGTTTAGTATCGTTTACTCTAGGTTTCGCTGATAACTGGTTGAAACTGTAACAGGTGGTACAGCGTCAAATAACTCAGCAGGCAACTCCACACGTCCTGCTTTTGTTGAAACATCATCAATTGGTGTACCTTCATTGAAAAGACTATCAGCAAATCCTACTCAAACCTCGGGTTCAATGGTTGAAGCTACTGCAGTTGCTGCTGGGGCTCGTGTTGTTAAACCCTCTGTTGCTTCATCGCAAATTGAGGCTCCACATTCTCAGAATGCTGTTCGTACCACTGCTGGAGGAGGCCCTATGATAAAATCCTTGACAACAGGTCTCTCGAATCAACTACCAAGTAACGTGCATTTTATTCGTAATGGCCTGGCGAAGGCTCCAATCACTAATCACTCCCCTACTATGACAAGCGCCTCTAAACCTAGTGAAGCTCGGCAAGCACAAGTTCCAACTGCTGGGATTTCAAGAACTGTAGCAGAAGCAACTGTTTCTAGCTCAGAAAATGTCCAAAAAGACGAAGCTGCTTTTGCTCCAAGAGAGGAAATTCTTGAATCTCAAATTGCTTTGGTGGGCAACCAATCAGAAGAGAAAATTGAAGAAAATCAAGCTTCTTTTTCAGGCAATGCATCAAAAGAGAACAGTAAAGCTAATGGAGCTTCCATTCCCTCTAGTGTTCCTATGGGACCAACTACAGATAATTGATTTGCTTTAGCAAGTTTGAAGTAAACAATGGTGGTAATTTCAAATGTGAATCATGCTACCATTTTGATAGAGTATTAGTATCCTTGACCTGTGAAACGAGAGAGATTCAACCTATGATGGAGTGCCAATGTCCAAGATATAGACATCGATACTTCCGAAAGATGTCCGGAATCTACAGGGTAGTAGTGTCCTGTTTATTGTTTTTCCGATTCCAATACAGGTGGTTCGATTTTGTAAATTTTGAAATTTAAAATTAGGGCAAACTTACATTTTACTGTGTAGAGCAATGTATGTATTTATTTTCATCTGATTGTTCCAATCTTTCTACTTAGCCTTGAAAGGTCCATTTGTGTATTCTTAGCGATGTGATTTACAAGCCTTGGTACTGTAGTAGTGAGGGGCCACCTTGGGAGCTTATAAGAGTTGTGTTAGGTCTTGTTTGGCATAGGTTTTGTTTTTTGCTTACTGTAGAAGAGTTTTTGAAAAAAGTTACCTTAATTTTTGTTTGAAAATTAATTTTTAAATAAGCTTTTTATTTTAGAAGCGGTTGACCCCAAAAAATGAACTCAACAGATGTCAAGTCTACTCTTGCCATGTCACGTTTCTTTCGGAATAGGAATGGAGATTTGATAGTAATGAACGTGGGAGGCACTTTCCGGTGAGAGACACAAATGTTCGGACTCCGACGATTAGGTTTGAGAAGCAACTAGCGCTATCAACGAATGTTTGATCCGTTTAACCTTCACTCATTTCGTAATGGAATATGTGGAAGTATAGATATGAAAATGTATTGTATATTCTTTGAATATCGTGTATTCTTCCTTCTGTTTTGTAAAACAAAGTTAAGTGTAAAGATGTTTTTTATTTCTTGATTGCCTTGCCCCATTTTTAGTACAAAGAGAGATTATTTATACTAACCTAGCCGACGTGGTGAACGTCCGATCACATCTACGTGGCAACATCTCCTAGACCAAAGACTCACATCACTGTCCATTCAATGTATTCAATGTTTGACAAAAGGTCAACCATGTTAGTAATAGGCTGACATACTGACATATTAAAAGCTACAGACACTTTATTACAAGCGTCCCATCAATCAGTTATGCGAGATCTTCGAATATGTTGGGAGGCCATGTCGACTTTAGCATACGTTGAGGTCAGCTTTGGGCTTATGGATATTTGATGTGATTGAGATTCGGTGCTTTACTACTTCAGACATGAGGGACCTCTGCCTTCCTCTTGAGGGGCCTTAAGTAGATCTTCGTTTCTTGGCTGGAAGGACGTTAGATGACTAGTGCCTCGGCACTCGCATGACCTCATATCGTTGCATTCTTTGTTGACCTTAACCGTGCTGACCTTCCTGCTGAGTTGTCAATTGGTTTTATGTCCACTTGGCTACAGAGAGTGCGTGGCTGTCCACGTAGAGTGCTGACTTGGAGCATCTTATTTCGGGGGGTAACAATAGTCCCCCAAGTCTATGCATGATTATTTATGTAATGTGTGGACTTGAAAGTAATTTTGAAGCAGAGTTTCACAATAATAATGGACTTTCCGTGAGCTTCATCCGATTGGTTCCTCGACCTCCTAGGTATCGAAGCTACATCCTCTATTTTGAGTTGTCTCCATGCGTTCTGAAGCGGATAGGGTCTGATGTGTTAAATAGTCTTGATTTTGACAGCTAAGATGACATTAATTTCTCAACAATTTTGAGACATACGCAGCATTTCAAATTATGGAGCCCCAATGATTTGATATCGTAGTGCTTTCCCAAGAAAGGTAGCTGAGGCTGTGCAACTTCCGATACGCATAATAGCCGTCGATTTTAATGCATAGTAATGATTGTTTTCCCCATGCTTCTTAACAAAACTCAGATGCGTAAGGGCGTGTGCGAGTAATGTTCGAATCTGGGCCTTTGAAGACAAAGCGTCGAAGTCGTGGGTGGCTCAGATTAATACTTGCTGAACAATGGTTGGATGGCCCAGATCAAGATCTAACGGCCAGGGTTGAGCTGATTTGCCTATAAAAGGCAAGAATCTTAGAGAGAGTTCATTTCCTACCTTTTGCACGAATCTTGGCACTATTTTCTCACGAATTTACTAACTCCTTCAAGTTTCTTTTCCTTCTGAGATCCTTTTGAGCATTCATCTTTTCTTTTCAGTTGAGTTCTTGTGAATACTTCTCTGATCAGTAAGTAATTGATTTCTCAAATTTTTGGTATTCTTTGCATTTATGGTTTCTACTGCTTCTTCCGGGGACGATGTAGGTGTGGCCAATGTGGCTAAAGAATTAGAACTCCAAATAACTAGTACGGTTGACCTTAGAAGGTCTGTTGAGGCAGGCTGAGGTGCCTCTATACTGGGGACATTGTCAGGGGTGATGACGGTGCGGGTTGGGGGCAGCTAAAATTCGTCCCGACACCCTACCCAATTAGCCATTCATAGAGATATGTATAGGATCCCCTACAATATCGAACTTCTGTCATTCTCTCCTGATGAGCAAGCTTGCTTCCCTAGGCGCGTCGCCATCAGTGAGTACCTCTTGAAATCTGGCCTTCGCCTTCGCCTTCATCCTTTTTTCCGAGCTGTTCTTCGACTGTATGGGTTTGCCCCCACCCAACTAGCCCCTAATGCCTGAGCCCAGCTAGTGGGCTCATACATCCTTTGGAAAGAGACTTCCTTCGACGAGGATATGTCCCTCCACGTCTTTCAAACAATATACTAGCCTAGGGCCTTGAGCAAAGGGGATTCCAAATGGTGGTGCTCGTTGTACCCATGGGGACATTCCCCTTTCTTGTTGGGTCTTTACACCTCCATCAAAGGGTGGAAGGAGACTTGGTTCTGGGTTCGGGGAACGTGGTAGGAGTGCGAGGGTGACACTGTCCCTCATGTCAAAGTTCCGACCTCCTATTTCAAACCCAGTGAGTGTCCTTTCTGTACCTTGTTTACTTATATTGAATTAGTATATGATCCTGATTAATTTTCTTATAGGGTTGGTTAAACGCTTTGAGCTTGATAAAAGCAACTGGGATATCTTGTCCGAGATTTATCGCCGACTCTCCTCAGAATGTGACTTCAGCCGTTTGGTCGTGCCCAAGCGATTTTACGAAGACCTTCAGCCGTTTGGTCGTGCCCAATACATTATACTGATTTTTTGCTTGCTTTCTTTTGACTTTATGCCTCATTGGGCTGCAGGCTATTTTTAGAAGAGAAAGGTCCCCACCTCTGACATGGCCACCATTCTGGTAGCTACCTCTACCGCTGGCCGCAAGGGCATAAAGTCCTCATCTACTGGAGGAATGCAGGTGAGAGATAAAATAGAGAGGGTCAGCAGGGAGGCTGCCCCTCAAGAAAAAGGGCATCCTCCCCTTGACAAGGGGAAGAAAACGGTGGTGGAGGAGCCAAAAAAGAAATTCAGAGTGTCCGCCACCGGGGTGGGCAGCTCAAATGACATTCCCCCTCGCTCTGAGGTGCCTACATGGCAGAAGTTATTGGCTAGGTCCTTTGCTGCGGCCTCTGCGAGTCAGAAACGAGTTGCCACTTCTGAACCGCAGAACCAGGAACCCGCCAAAAGGCCCAAGTCTTCCAGCGAGACCACTTCTGATCGTTCTCAGGGAAAGCCTCATTTGGGAAAGAGGTTTGACGATTTAGAGCCCTTGCCCTTGCCCTATTGCCCCCAGAGATTCAAACAGCCATGACGATGTTCTATCAGTTTTGCACTTCTAAATGGGAAAATTTCGTTGAAACAAGTGAAGCTGTGGACGTCGTCGCCACAATGGTGGCTCAAGCGTCGAGATGCTTTGGCATGGCTGTAGAGGTAGAGACCCTGTTCAAGACGCTTTAGAGAAAGAACCGGGAGTTTGTGGACAAGGCTTCCTAGGCTGAGGAAGCAGCGAACAAAGCCAAAGCCGAGGTTGAGGCATTTAAGAAGAAAGATGCTGAGGAGTCAGTGAAACTCGCTTCTGCGTTGGCAGAGATTGAGGCCCTGAAGAAAGAAGTTCATTTATCTCAAAGTGAGGTGACCTCGTTGACGAAGCGGGTGGAGACATCTGATGCTCATCAAAAGGTAACAGCCGAGGCCCTCGAAAAGGCCAACAAAGAAAAGGGCGACTTGACGAGAGAGGTGGGGAGCTGACCTCCCAGGTGGAAAGGTTAAAGGAGGAAGTTGAGGCAGTCCGCCACGATGCTGAGGGAGCTAATAATGATACTGATGCTCGCTTTTTGGGCAACTTCCACTTAACGGAACACTATCAATGATTTGGGCAATACTGGAGGCGGTATGCCTATACCGAGGTCGTTGAATGGATGGAGGTGCATACCCAACAAGATACCTCGGGGCTTAGGGCTGAGTTCCTTGGTGAAGATCAAGAGGAGGAAGGGGAAGCTCAGACGCCAGTAGACTTGAACCAACCAATTGTCCTGGACGAAGAAGCTGCTGAGGGGGTCGCCAATGATGAAGTGGCCCTTGGGGCTATAGTTCCCTTCGAAGCTCCCTAACCCCCACCTCAATAGCTGATGTACTTTGCTTTCTTTAGGGCTTCGGCCTATATGCAAAATGAAATTTGTTTTCATTTTAATGAAGTTCAATCTTATCTCTTTTGACTTCAGTTGTTCCCTTATTGTTGTACTCTGATAATTTCTAACATTGAAACAACTTACTAACTTCTGAAGTGTAATTATCTGACATTGAAGCAACATACTAACTTCTGAAGTGTAATCATGCTTTTTTCACTGAACATTGAGTTCAACTAATGAGTAGTTTGTCAACTTGCCCCATCATCTTTAACTTCGAACTGGACTTACCAACATAAGTATTAACCTTTATCTCGTCAGACCTGCCTAGGTCTATTTCATAATTATTCATACTTAATTGGGGGTTCAACTGAAGGTTATGCAGCTTTTGATCAGCACTCCTTTCCAAGGGTAATGAAAAAGGAGTAGCGTTTTTCACAAAGTCGAATTCCTTGTGTGTATTCAGATGTCTTTAAATTGGAAAGCTTAACA